ATTGTTCATCCAGCCTGTCCTATCCAGACAGGCCTGCGGAGACAACATGCATAAAAACAAGACAGAGCAAAACCAAGCAAGCTCAGTATCTTTTTATAAGAAAATTACAACACATGAACTCACTGCCATCCAGCGAAGTGGAGTAAGGGGGAACTGATCACAATGATTGACATATGGCCCCCTGCCAGGGGAACAGACAACAGAAAAGTAGGTGAAGGGAGACAGCGGTTGGTGTAAGACATGAAAAAACAATAATAATTTATAAATTATCAAGGGTTCATGGGGGAGGGAGGGGAAAACCAAGGGCTCGAGCAGAAAGAAAATGTTTTGAAAATGATGATGGAAACATATGTACAGATGTGCTTTACACAATGGATATATGTATGGATTGTGATAAGAGCTGTACAAGCCCCCAATAAAACGATTTAAAATAATTATGTTTGGCTGAAAACCAAGAACTAGGGATTTCTCTTTGGAATGATAAAAATGTTTTTGAACTAAACAAAGATGCACAAAATTGCAAAAGCACTAAGTCCCAATCAATTGTTCACTTTATATTACCTGAATGTAACCTAAATAACAAAAAAATGGGTATGTTTGGGATAGACATTTCCCCAATGAAGTTAAAAAATGGCAAATAGACACATGGAAAGATAACCAGCATCATTACAAAATGCAAATCAAAACTATACTGGAGTATCACTTCATACTCCCTCAACTAAACACCAAACTCACTTCATAGGAGTGATACCAACTCAGTGGCCCTATAGGGCAGAATAGAATTGGCCCTTTGAGTTTCTACGACTGTAATTGTTCACAGGAGTAGAAAGCTCCATCTTTCCCCCCCCCAGAGTAGCCTGTGGTTTTGAACTACTGACCTTGCAAATTGGAGCCCAATGCATAACCACTACACCACCAGGGATTATTTCACACCCTCTAGGATAGCTACAATATCAGATGTAGGTAAAGAGGTAGAGAAACTGGATTCCTCATGTACTGCTAAGGGAGAGCATGGATCTATATATATTTTTTGCAATGACACTGTAAATGAGTTTGACAGTTTCTTAAAAAGTTAAGCATATATAAATAAGTGAACATTAAAAAGTTCCTGGGGTTTGAGAATGATGAGGGCAACGAATGTACAAATGTGCTTTACACAATTGATGTATGTATGGATTGGGATAAGAGTTGTATGAGTCCCCAATAAAATGATTTAAAAAATTTTTTTTAAAGTTCCTTGGGGCTCAAATAGAAAGAAAATGCTTAGAAAATGATGGCAACATATTAACAATTGTGATTGATACAATTGATGTATGGATTATTATAAGAGCTGTAAGATCTCCCAATAATATGATTTTTTTTTAAGTTCCTGGATATTTTTTATTATCTTTCAATACCATTTTGAAGCAACCTAGAAATTCTTATCCCAAATATCAACCCGAGGAAAATTAATGCCCACGCAAAGTTACCTATATGGATATTCCTAGTATTATTCATAATAGTTAAAAACAAAAAAAAAACAATTCAAATGTCCATCAATTAGTAAATAGATAAAGAAAATTAAGCTCATCAACCCAAAGCACTACTACTTAAGATTACAAAGGTATGAACTAGTACATTCAACACAGATAAACCTTAAAAACACGCAAAGCCAGACACAAAAGACTAAATATAATAGGATTCTATACATATTTCCCCGAGAAAGCAAAATTCTACAAATAAAAAGCAATCAGTCGTTGCCTGGGGCTTGGAGTAGAAATGGGGTCTGACTGCAAACTAGCACAAACAAACGTTTTAGGTGGATGACTAAACAAAACAAACTCCCTGCCATCAAGTCAATGGCAATTTACAGTGACTCTGTAGAACAGGGTAGAACTGCCCCTGTGGGTTTCCAGACTGTAATTCTTTATGGCAGTCGGAAGCCTCATCTTTCTCCCTCAGAGCAGCTGGTGGGTTTGAAAAAATTGCTGACCTTATGGTTAGCAGCCAAACACATAACCACTACACCACCAGGACTCCCTCAGGTTGATTAAATAGATCTAAAACTGGCTCATGGTAGTGGTTCACAACTGTATAAATGCATTAAAACACATTGAAATTAATGATTTATAAAGGTAGTAAAATTCCACCGGAATAAAGCTGTTAAAAAAATCATTATAAAAATGCTGATGATGGGAATGCACAACTTAGTATGACTAAACTACTGAATTGTATGAGATGTGAGTTATATGCCAATAAAACTATTTGAAAAACAAGAGAGAGAAAGAAAGCAGGGAGTGAAGTACAGGAAAGAGGGGACAGATACACAAGGCTTCAGGAACACTGAGCTTATGTTTAGGTTGATGGGAAAATTTGAGAATGGTTCTCTATGTATCTACCACAATAAAAAGAAAACTATGTATACATGAAAGTCATGAGTCCCTGTGATTATTTTAATTATTTTTTTAAATGGCTGTTGTAATACTCTATATCTAAATTGAATGGTAGCAGATAAAATTATAGATGGGACTGAAGCAAGTACCATCCATTATAATGTATAATCAATAAACAATCTAGAAACAAGTTAAATAAAAAGAAAAAAATGTAAGAAAAGTGAGTGTTACAATGTTGTGGAATATATATTTTCTTATTCTCAATTGTTTGAATTGCAGTTATGCTACTTTAATAGTAAAAAAACATATTATTTTAGATATAAGATGATACATTTTATAATTTTCTGTCAAACAGCAAACCACCACTGTCAAATAGTAAGCATTGTCATTTCTTCTTTAATCACTGTAGAAATACTAACCTTCCAGCTAGCAGTACAATGCCAATCCCCATCGTCACTTTTATCCCAGACCTGTAACAAAATAAGAAGTGGATATTTACATGAAGAATTCCTATAAATCAATACAAAAAACTACGAGACTGAAATCAGTATAAAGGCAAAGCATGATAAATGTGCTACCCTTATCTTGACTGGACACACCTCTGCTGCACATGATCCCATGTAGGGTTTCCTACCATTAAATTCATACCAAACGGAGTAAATAGAATGGACTTATTGAAGCCCTTTTAAATGTTAGAGGACCAGCAGGGAGTTTTGTTGACCCACCAAACTTTCTATAAGTACTGCATTAGAAACTCCATCCAAGTCTGGTACCTCATCCCATTTCTTACTAACCATCTAAAAACTTCATTCCTGCTGAACAGGAATGAGAGTAGGGATATCAGGAGGGCAGGGGGAAAGTAGGGAAAAGAGGGGGGGGGGAGGGAAACTGATCACAATGATCGACACATAACTGCACACACCACATACCTCCAACCCCCAACCCCAGGATGAACAACAGAAATCGTGGTGGTAGGGAGACAGCAGTCAGTGTAAGATATGAAAATAATAATTTATCAAGGGGCCACGAGGTTGGGGGTGGGGGAGGAGCTGACACCAAGGGTTCAATAGAAAATAAATGTCTAGAAAATAATGATGGCAACATATGTACAAATGTGCTTGATACAATTGATGTATGGATTGTTACAACAGCTGTAAGAACCGTCAATAAAATGTTAAAAAAAAACAACCTTCATTCCTGCAATGAAAGTCTCTTTTTCTCCCCTTTCATTGCCCCGGCCCCGCCCCCGCCCCCCACCACCACCACATCTCCCTAGTAATAGTCCCTACTGTTTTTGCACTTCATAAGATCCATGCAGGGAAGCTGTCTCAACAGATCAGACAAAGCTTCTCTGACTAGTGCTTGGTTTTGCATAGTACGGTTATTTATATGTGTTATACATGTAGGAGAAGCCCCCTAGATCACTGTATTTACTATGACCTTTGTAAGGAGCAGATTCAAGAGATGGATATCCTGAACCCCATAAAGCAAATCCAGCATGACTTGTACAAGCAGCACATTACTCACTTCCTGGAGTGTTCTTCTTGCTATTTATAGGGAAGAGGAGGAGCCTTGGTGGTATAGTAGTTACACACTGGGCTGCAAACCACAAGGCCAGCAGTTCAAAACCTATTCTGCAGGAGAAAGATGACGCTTTCTACACCTGTAAAGAGTTATGGTCTCCGAAAGTCATAGAGGAAGTTCTACCCTGTCCTATAGGGTCTTGCTGAGTCAAAATTGACTTGATAGTAGTGAGTTTGCTTTTTAAATTTTTCTCCCTCTCCCCCCAGTGGTAACCCCGATAGAAAATAAATGTCTAGAAAAGAATGAAGCAACATATGTACAAACATGCCTGATTCAATTGATATATGGATTGTGGTAAGAGTTGTTCGAGCCCCAAATTAAAAGAAAAAAAAAGAGATGCAGGTCTTGCATCAATCCAAGCATACTCATTCACTCTGCAGCTTTCACAATGAAAGATGCTTCCCCAGAATTAATCACTTTCACAGTCCATTTTAGTAACAGTTCCTAATGAAGCGAAGGGCATTCATCTACAATGAATCATGTATATATGTAAATATATTAATTTATAATGAAGTGATAGAGACCAATGTACATGTATGTAGACAGCAGACAGACTTTGGGCCTCTATTCAAGCCCTCCCTTAACACAGTAACATTTTGTTCTGATAACCGGGCAGTCTGTGATACTCACCTTCACAACACAATCACTGAAGACAAAATGAGTTCATAAGCAAATGTGGTAAACAGAGCAGATGGTGCCTGGCTATCAAAAGATAGTGTCTGGGGTCTTAAAGGCTTGAAGTCCACAAGCAGCCATCTAGCAGGGGAGTAAATATGCCCACTTGGAAGAAGCACACCAGCCTCTGTGGTCGTGAGGTGTCGAAGGATCAGGCAACAGGTACCAAAAGATCCAAAACAACTATATTGATGTGAAAGAGGGGGGTTGAAGTGGAGACCCAAAGCCCATATGTAGATAACTGGATATCCCCCCACAGAAGTAGTATAGGGTAGGGATGATTCAACCAAGGTGTAGTATAGCACTGACGAATCAAACATCATTCCTCTAGTTCCTGAATACTTCCCTCCCCACCTCCCCTACTACCATAACCCAGCTCTAACTTACAAATCTGGCTAGACCAGAGAACACATATTAGTACAGATAAGAGCTCTCAACACAGGGAATTCAGGAAAGATTAACACCTCAGGAAGAGGAATAGGAGTAGCAATATCATGAGGGTAGGGAGAGGAAAGGGTCAGAAAAAGGGAACAATCACAAGATTGGATATATATAGCCTCCCCACCCTGCACAAAGGACGAATAACGGAACTGTGAGTGAAGGGAGACAAAGGACAGTGTAAGATATGAAATAACAATACATAATTGATCAAGGATACAGGGGGGTGGG